ATTGAACATGATTGAACTGAACCTGAACCTGAACTTGACCAAAGTTCGGTTTCAGTTCGGTTCATAGGAACACTACGAAGGGATATGAAAATAATAACAAGAATAAAACAGATGATGCTATCAAAGAATCGAAGGATTATGAAAATAATAACAAGAATAAAACAGATGATGCTATCAAAGAATCGAAGGAATATGAAAATAATAACAAGAATAAATCAGATGATACTATAAAAGAATTGAAGGAATATGAAAATAATAACAAGAAAAAACCAAATGATGTTATTGAAGAATTGGTATATATGGGAATTGATAAAAATATTAATAATATTGAATTATATAAAACATTTAAAACAGTGGTCTAGTCGTCACCCTCTCCAAGTGACAGGTCTAGAGTTCAAATCCCATGGACAATGATTTTTGAAAAATAGGCTTGTGTTCAGTTAATGGCTATGCTTATCAGTTGGATCTAATTTGTAATTTCGGTCACACCATCTAGTAATAGGAGCAATGGCGCAATAAATCTGAGAAACTGGCATAACTGAAAATCTATTTGGGAAGTCCCGAGTTAGGAGTAGCAGTGATTTATGATAGTATCACAAGAGGGCTGAATTCGAACCGGGGCCCAAGATCGGAGAACCGAGCGACCAGGTTCTAATGGCGAAGGATGCACCAGCCGAACTGTCGGGTTGTTGCACTGGAGGAAAAGGACATACACTTCGAAAATATGTACCAAGGGGAGGGCATCCTTCAGGCACCTAAAGCCTAGACAGACCAACCTTTTCGAGTTGCTAGCTGGAAGTAAGGAAGGGACTGATAAAGAATCTGGATAAGAAAACGGTCTAATTGCGGGTACCAGAGTTGTTGTGAACCTATACAAGAGCAAAAAGCGTTTGAGGCCCTGCAAAGTAGAGAACTGTAACACCGCGGGAGTAAGAACCCGGGACATCATATGATGGACCTATAATAGAAGCACAGCCTCATCTGCAAGTAGAAGCCTAGGCAACTGCGTAAGGGTAATTGTGAGTGGGTATACAAGAACCTAGTCTAGAAAGTCGAAGTTTCAGACTTTATCTGGCCAAGATTTAAGGTTGGGGTAAATTTGGAGATTAGAGATACTCTGAGCTATCGGATAAGGTAACTCTTAGATATATATAGTCATCCATGAGCCCTATTCTTGATTGCACTTGTTTAAACTTAGGCATAGTCGTATGTACTTATTCCTAATTACCGTTTAGCACTGTATAAAGTATCCCCCTCGAATAATATCCTACCACATAAAGTATCCCCCTTCTCCACCAATAAAATTGCTGGATTCGTGAATAGTACCCGGTACTATTCAATTTTAAAAATGGTGTTCTTGAATAAGACCCTGGGTACTGTATACAGTGCTAAATGGTAATAAATAAAAACATGCACTCAAGAGGTGAACCTTCACTTGTAAAAAAAAGAAACATTTAAAACAAGAAATGATAAAGAAGCAATGAAACTTGCCATAAAGATTATAGACAAGAATTGCTTTATTGAAAAATACATAACAAAGCAAAATCATAAGACTTCTATTAGCTTTAGAAAAATATATAGATATAGTATTAAAGGGAATTTTTGGAAATTTTTTAAAAAAGTAGTATTAAGACAAAAATTCAATTTTTTTCTTAAAATAGAGGATATAAAATTAACTAATAAACATAAACATGAAATTAGAAGTCTTCTATGTGGGTTGGAGCAAAATGTATAATCATGACAAAATAACTTGATTTCACCAAGCAACAACAGCAGCAATAGCTAGCAGAATTGGCAGAATAGTAGCAGCAGCAATAACTATTAGTTGATAATTAAATTTTGTTGTAATACGTATTACGTGATTATACTGTTTATGCAACAATATGCTTTTTTAAAGCTTATTCGCACAGATCGCGTGTTAAATTAGTGAATTTTTTATTATATACATATATATTAATAAATTGTTAGTTACTGGACATAGGTATTTATTATATTAGGTATTTTAAACTTGTAAAATTTATTTATTACAAAATAAAGTATATGAATAAAAAAAATTTTTTTACTTAATTAACTATTAATGCCATTTGTTGTCTGTATTACTTTATTTATTACTTGCACTTTTTGCCAGCGTCAGAATGAAATATATAAAAATAACATGATTTCGTTCATAAAATCTTAAGCCTCATTAGACATATATATGTGGTGCATAAAAATATTAATTTCGATGTTAAAATATTCAAATTCATAAATACACATTTTTCAATTCCTTATAATTATGTACAAATCACAAATCGAGTTTCTTACAAATTTCTTACTAAACTAATGAATAATTTATAATTGGTTTTGCACGTTGACGCCGAGTAGCTACCTAGTGAAGCTACAACTAATATTAGATTGGGACGTAAAATTTGATATTATTTCGTAATTTTTGATTATATCATTTAATTCAAACCATTCTCATTATAGTGAACTCCCAAAATAATGAAAGCCAAATGTCGATAAGTGATGTTTAGTTCAAAACCACTTTACATAAATTTACTCAATATAGATAGTTATTTTATATTATAAATTTTAAAAGTTTTTACTAATGGAACGGATCAACTATGACGAAAGCGATTTGAGTATTTGTGAACTATACCGAATAACTGGTTCAGGGTTTTAGAAAATGAGCTTGTTTGTTTATTTATTTAAACGACAAAATGGGATAAGTGAAGGGTATAACTTTCTTGAGTAATTATATGAACGAGAAAATTTATCTCTTTCATATTTACATTTCTATTTATATACTAACGCTAATAGCTACTATTACATTGTTATGCAATTACTATTATAATCACATTGCTTAATTATTACATTTCACATTACTTAATTATTACATTTCACATTACTTAATTATTACATTTCACATTACTTAATTATTACATTTCACATTACCCCTTCATTACTACAAATGCTTAGAAATAGTTTTATACCTAGCAAAAATTAAATATCAGAAATTTCTAAAGATAAATTTGTAACAGATTATATGAACAATATATATTAAACGATATCAAAATTCTTCCTAGTGGAAGCAGGCGCTCCAGTTTTACAACACCCTCAACTGATGAAACAACATCGTTTAAAAGGGCTAAAATGACCATCCCTATGCTCAATGCCCGCGTGATCTTGGCTGAGCAATTGCTGTTGAAATCTAATGCTCTTAAAACATGCTCTCCAAGAAGGAGTTCTTATAGGTTCATAGATTATCCTATCGGTTACAGTTATCACTTCAGCAAGCATAGTTTGCACAACAACTGGATAACAATCTGAATAAATTCCTTCTATATATTTACCAACGTTCAATATTATTCATCCCAGCAATCGCTAATGGTATGATAATTAATGCTATTCCATACAAGATCAATGCTATTATTACAATTCGTGTTACTATGATGTTATTAGCGATAGATACTTCTCCAAGACTTTGATCGACATTACCTACAGCAACACTTGCTACCATATTGCAAATTCCAAGTTTTAATCGGCACTCAGCCTCTTGTGTTTCAAACATACTGCTCCCATTAAAAGAGGCTTATTCAAGTGCAATACTTACTTACTTTTTTTGGCATTTCACTAAGTCCAAAGCTCACGGCACGAGTAATATTGGCATCTAAAGGATCAAGTCTTACACCCCAATCACTCTTAGAGAAAGACACTGTGTTTATATAACTTTGTATTTCTTGTACAAACTTCTCATCATAATTCGTTGAAGGATTAACCATTCTAATTTTCCTAATTGGCGATGAATTAAAATATTTCAAGACCAGCACCGCTTCCAAGTGATGTGAAATTATTTGTAGTATTTTCTAATATTATAAAGACTGCTAGGAAAATTAATACTAATTTGTACAATTAGCTTGAATATTGTACATGTATATGATTTAAAATTTCCGTTCCATATTGTACCACTCAATTGTGATATTATGGCTAATCCCTCGTTCATAACTTCTGCTGTTGCCCAATAATGTAATGCAATATCCGCTGTTGCTAGCAATATTATACATTACACTTTTGATGTCCAAAGCCTTTTTTGCAATGTTCAACGTCCACGTTCAAAAATGTCCAAAGCACATTACACTTAAATAAATTAAAATAATTTTTTTTAAAGACATAAAACTTTATATAAAATTAGGTGCTAAATGATTTTTTCAAAAAATTAAATTAGGTTGCCATAGTAAACTTTTGAGTTATTAACATGTCCAAGGCTTTGTCCAAGCTGTCCAGTGACAACATTGGTTGCTAGTAAATGGTACAATTACAACAATAATTAACCAGATCCATAAAATATTTAGACCCTTTGGTCTATTTCAAGATAAAGCTATAATTCCTAAACACTCCTTTCATTTTCTAATTTGATAAGTTTTGATAATTCAAGTCCATTTAACTGGATTCTATAAAACTTTTATAATATCTTAGACTAGCTTCTACCACATCGGTTATATCTAATTGTAGTATTAATATCTAGCAGAATACCAGGATTGATGAGGAATTAAAATTCCACCATCATCAAATATTGTTCAACGTAATGAGAATACAACTAATAATAACTGTAAAACTGATCCAATAATTAACAATGCTATACTCAAATATGCTTTTAATAAAAGTTGATATATTTATTATTACATCTAAAAATTTTTTTTAACAAAGCCAGTTTGCCAGCTTGGTTATAAACATAAATTCTCAGAGAATAGCAAGGTTGAACAAGCAAAAAATAAGGATATTTAACTAAAAACCACTGGCATTAGCTTTGATGTTGGACATATAACCCTTAAGGATAGACAAGTTAAAATAAGAATATTGATGATTGTTTAAAGATTTTCAACAAACTACTATCACTATCTTGACACTGGATATGTAATCTCAAATAATAGCTTGAATAACAAGCAGAAATAAAAATATTAATAATTGCATTTGAAAATTTAATCAAAAACAGCAAAATATAATAATGTAATCGAGAATGTAAATTTCTTTTAAAGGGCTGGATAATTTTAATATAGCGTAAAAGTGGTAAGTTTCGTAACTGGATTCAAAAAAATGATACAAAAAATAACAAAAATAGCGGTACGTTTATTATTCCTCTAAATAAAAAGGTTTTTTTTTAGATAGATAAATAATTTCAGAATTTTATTCTAAATTGATAAATCTGGTTAAAACAGTATCGAATCATAAATGCAACTGAATTACTCTTCGATAATGTCGAAAGTTCCCAACATAGTATATGATCTTATGTAGAACACTCATAGAACAATCTTTATGATTGATTAGATTGATTGTTCTTTTCTGAATTTGGGTCAAAATCCCGAAAAACGGATCCCCGAAAGAACGTAATACCGACAAAGTTAGCCGGCACTAGCCATAATGCTGGCCAATTTGGTCGGTTTCGATAATCTGTTGTTCGGGATTTTGACCCAAAATCTAATTTTCTTTCTCAAAAATGAAATTAGAAAAAATATTTGTTAAAGCTTTTTGGGAATCTTTAAAGGCGATATGACTATTTATACGGCATAACAAACGAGCTATGTGATTTTTTGGGTCAAGAACGTGATATTTGAATAAAGTGATTGGTATTGCATCCAGGCAAATTTGTCTGCAATACCTTATAGTGTAGGGAATAATAAAATTATAGAACTACGAAAGTGTGTAGCGTCACTATATCAAAATAAAGAAGTCTGTAAAATAATATCATAAAGGTGACAAAATGTTTATAGCAAACTTGTTAAAATTTTTTTAAACACAATATGAACAACCCTAATATCAGCAGCATAGCGGGCTTTCATTCCGATTGGCTAATTTTTGTAGATCATTCCGTGATTTTACAAGATATAATTGGCCAATAGAAAACAAGTTCAAAAAATTTA